TCAATCACCACTTCCTCCTCCAACTTTCCAATTGAGTGGTGTCCATAAGCGTAACTTGTCACGCCGTCCCCGAGTAGATATCTCTTGTCATCGAAACAGCTAAGTGTGACTTTCTTCAACATGTACGTTCCGATCTTATGACCAATGCTCCTGATTGTGTTCATGACATGTCTCATTCGACCTTTGGTTTCGATGACATTTTTGAAGTTCTGGTGAGTGAGTTTGTTTCTGATCACGTACTTTTTCACACCTTTAGCTGTCATTCCACCTCCACCACTCTCCTTCACATAAGAGTGCATCTTTGACCTTAACCCTACGAATTCAATCACTGGTACTCCTTCAGCTTCATCCTTAAACTTCCCAATTACCTTCTTGTCATGGGCTGAGTAATACGGGGAATCTTTAGGATAATCTGAATTATCCCAGCAATCTTTCTCTTCACCGATTCTCTTAAAGTCTTTGTACACGTCATCAGTCTTGATCTCATACATGAGACTATCAGTGTCAGTGAAGAGAAGCTTAGACTTGTCACCGTATTCTTTCTTGATCGTGTTGTAGTGAAAGTCAAACATTAGAGTTTTCGATAAATCTAAAATACTCATCCCCACATAACACGGCTTATTCAAAGTTAGAACTTTCTTTAACCGTTTTACTACTATCAAGCTTTCATTCATAATTCTATGTGATTGGAAGCACGGAGACGCTGTCATTTTAAGTAGATTATTCTCAGACGACACTAACCTCACATCAACTCTCTTCCTTAAGTTCTCCATAGTTTTTCCGTAAATGGAATTGTTCATGAGCTTGAAGAAATTCTTTTCAAACGCATTCTTAGCAACAGATCGTTTTTGCGTATTGAAGTCAATATACTGCTTCAGCCAAGTTGTCTGCTTGAAGGACACTGCCCTGTGGATCTTTGTGAGTTTCATCCCAAGGTCCATATACAGTCTCAGATTCCTAACATGTAGAACGTAATTCTTCCTGGGACCTGGTGAGTTCACCAGTTTTCTTACACCTCCAATCTTCAGCTGGAATTTGTCAGCAATATCCTTCGCATAATCTGATAACATTGACGCATCAATCTCCTTACTTTCTGGAGCTAGAGGATATCCATTATGTATATCATGAAGTTCTGCAGGATATTCCATATCAACTTCAAGAACCATTCCTCTTCCACTATCTCCCAGATAGTCATCAATATTTATTTTGTCAACTTCCTCAATCCACTCAAACTCACCATTCGGAAGAGGTTGAGACATCGCCCAGCCGTATAAATTGTTGGCGTCGAGGTACATAAGGAACTTGTTTTCAGCCTCTTCGTCGTACGTTTCCATGTACTTATTGTTCGCTGCTGAGTGTCTATGAGCAATATGACTTACCCCACCTCTCATTCCCTTCTCAAAGAACTGGAACATATCCATATCGCTTACCAATTCTATTTCCTCACCTGACTGTTTCAGGAATGCGTCCCAACTTAGACTAGGTGCTGAGATGTAGTGAGCAGGGTCAAGCTTGTAATTCTCCAGACATGTCTTCCTAAAGTTCTCAAAGACATCCGCTAGCAGAAGAACGTCAGTCTCTAGATAAAGATCGTGGTAGTCCCTCATCGTTTTCATTCCGAAGTGATCCCAAACTTTTAAAGCTCTTTGGTAATCTTCTTCTTTCACCTTAGACTCATATAGAGACGAGTAGAATTCATCTCTACTCGGGAGTTCCGTAGCATTAAGTTTACTAATGTCATCTAAGTATTTATATGGAAATATACCTTTCTGTCTCACAAGATCGAAGTCCTCACCTTGCCACCGCTGACCGACTATCTTGAAGTCTTCAGGTGAAAGGTTATCTACAAGAGCCTCCAAGGAAGAAGCCATGAATTGTATTGAATCGATAAACACAAGACTTTTACCTAACGAGAAGGAAATGTATTTTTCCATGTTATTTGGAACAACATTAATATTCATCTTGAACTTCCCAATCTCCTGCATTATTAGATGGCTGTCGTAACCTCTTAGATTATGGAAGACAACTGGAAGTTTCCATGTAATTCTATATTTCAAGTTGCACATATTATGAGCAGCTCCACGGTAAAGTCCAGTTACGTGATCATGGTCCCTGACTCTATCATCACCTAAGTCACAGCCGCAGATGGAGCAGTTTCTTGTCATCCAGAACTCAGTTTCTTGTTCTGGTGTAATTACCATCTTCTTCTTGAAGATCTTATTTACCATTTCCCGGCACCTCATGGATTCCTTTAGAACTGTCTTCAAAAAGACCACTGTAGCGTCTTCACCAACATAGCTCATATATTCACCGGAGTACTGATCATCATAATGACATACTGTTTTTAACCCGAAACTACAAGCTTTGTGTGTCTGGTAAAGTTCTGTTGTACTCTTCTCCTCAGTGTCCTCAGATTCAACTTTTCTTTCCTCAGGAACTAGTATAGACTCAAAGTCAGCATAGATTACAAATGGAGCAGGCATTGAATTTCTATAATGACCGAACTTTATTTTTGAACCAGCTTCAGGAAGCTTAGTGGCCTGAGTTCCATTTACACTCATACAGGTCTCAGTATGTTTCTTTAGAGATTCTTCGCTAACGCAACTGTGAAGGCAGTACAAGCAGAAGTGTTTCTTGTTTGAGTTCCCGCTAACACTAAAGAGCATTCTATTTACATCTTTGATTAGGACGTAGTGGTTACCACCTTCGTTGTCACCTAACAGCAGCAACTCCATATGTTCGTCATATTTAGTCTTAGAGTTCCTGATTGGGTAGAACTGCTTTTTGCCCTTATAACCGAACACTGAAATGCTAATCGAATTCTTTCTCTCAATCTTGTCAATGTCGCTTATCTTCACAGGAAAGTCAATACCTTCATAATCCAGGTTCTTCGCAAACTCCCTATCTTGCTTTGTTATTGTTGTTGCCCTTCTTGCTCTCGGTCTTACGTGCCTTAGATGACTCCACATGAAGCATTTATTGTCATTATTTTGCATATTTATAAGTCCACATTTCGGGTTACTAATGTCTGCAGGTAACTTCGTATATGAACTACCCTTGAGAGGTTTGTACATCGCAATATTAACATAATGACTCTCAATGTTCAGAATAATCCAATTTGAACCTAAGTTCTGGAAAGTTTCAATTCTGGACAATATGGTCAGTTGATTTTGAGCTGCAGTGCTTTCGATATCCTCAAAGTTTGTTGCAGTTCCAGTTTTCGACTTAAAGTACACTGAATCCTTCTTTGTTTTGTCATTTCCAATTTCCTTTGACATTCTCACCTTAATTGTCTCCGTATATTTTAGACCTCCCATTCTCTTCAACTCGTTCACTAGAATTCCCCTCACAACCTGCCTACTCGCTGTCATCTGGTCCAAGGGATCCATAAAGTTTGGAGTTATTGAGTAAGTCACCGCTGCACCATTTGCGGCAGTTTCTATCTTTCTATAAGAAGGCTTCTCAAGATATGTTCCAAATGGATCAATCTCATGTTCCTCTGGAGCAACCACAATAGGCTGTTCCTCAACTTCTTTCATTACCTTCACAGGCTTTCTTAACTTTGGAGGAGGCACTGGCTTTTTGGTTCTTGGAGCAGGAATAGGTCTTACTTTAGGGAGCACTGTCCTTGGCTTAGGAACAGGTCTTTCTTTAGGGAACACTGTTCTTGGCTTAGGAACGGGCCTCCATGAAGCTACACCTTTTGGCACCTCAGGAGCTTTCCTTGTTGGTCTCTTGCTTAGATCCACAGTCACCGTGTACTTATTAGGTCCCACCTGAGTTATTACACTATCTGCAGGAATTGAGAGTTTTATTTTATTTTGACTCATAAACCTCTCCGCTACGCTTTGCCTCTTAACCTTTGCTGGCCTTCCACGTTTCTTTGGAATCACAACCTCAGCCTCAGTCTTGGCCTTTGGTGGTCTTCCACGCTTCTTTGGAATAACAACTTCAGTGTCAGCCTTAACTTTTGCTGGTCTTCCACGTTTCTTTGGGATCGCAACCTTAGCATCAGTCTTGGCCTTTGGTGGTCTTCCTCTAGGACGTTTTGGATTCCTAATATTCTCTAGCCTCTTCATTTCTGCATTAACTTGAGGATCATCAGTTCTCCATCTACCTCCCATTGTTGGTGGTAAACCCTCAACTCCCTGACTGAGTAGACTTTGATACGCCTCCTCGACCAGCAGAGCCTTAGCTTTCTGTCTCTCGGAATATTTCCATGTCGGCATAATTCCTCTCTCACCCTTCTCGTTCAATGGTCGTCTTCTTGCTCGTCTAGGGTCAGTAGAACGATCTCCTTCATCTATGAACTGTCTTTCTCCTTCAAAGGGATCTTTGCCCTTATCCTTAGGTGCAACTCGATAGAATTCGTCATTCGTTATCTTCTCCACTTCATCTTCGAAATCACTAATATCGCTGTCATCAACTATCTCGCTAAGTGCCATAAGTTGTTCCACGGTCATGTTGTTCATGTCAAAGTTTGTCGCCATTTTTCACTCTTTCTCTATATACTATAGGTAAAAAAAAATAGCCCCAATTAAGGGGTTATTTAATTCATTAATTTATTTACTTTCACTCTTTCTCTATATACTATAGGTAAAAAAAAATAGCCCCAATTAAGGGGTTATTTAATTCATTAATTTATTTACCATTTAATTTAATAATTAATATTTTATTTAATTCAATAATTTAATATTTTATTTAATTTAGTATTTAATATTTTATTTAATATTTTATTTAATATTTTATTTGTTATTTAATATTTTATTTATGTTTGAATTTCCAGTTATTATAATATTTACAATTTATGGGTTCCCATCCCAACTCGGGAAAAACCTTTCCATATAGTCTGTCCTCAAGGATGTTCACAATTCTTTGAGTCTTGATGTCCTCAGGTGGGTTTCTCAACATGATGTTGTTCATGCTGGCTAACCTAAGTAGGTAAAACTTATATCTAACTATGTTGCGCCCCCGTTGCAGTCTGAGTCTTTGTATACATCTTACGATGCTTCTAAACTGCTCCCGTATGGTATCCCTATCCCCAGAAGCAACATGCTCGAATAAGTGTCTCTCAAACCAACGGACTCTATTATGACAAGAGAAGCAACATGCTCGAATAAGTGTCTCTCAAACCAACGGACTCTATTATGTGACGATTTCTTTTTTAGGTAGTCGTCCTTGTTATGATTGTAACTAACGTAGTATGTGAAGTTGTTCATAGCACTAGTTCCGCAACGTGCGCATGTATCTGCTCCATCTATTACCACAATTAACTTACTACCACATTCACTACATATCGGTTCGTATGTGTGTTTGACCTTCATTTTATTTCTCACGTATTTCATTACTACAGCCTCTAACTCCTCAATAGTGTTTGCGTTCTTACCGACTCGTTCCATTTCATCAGGTGTTACCAGTGTCAGCCAGTCCATCCCCTATACTATATGTGTTAAAATTTTCTGCTTGTTTTTGTGGTTTATTTTTACGCCTCCTTATTATTCGCCATTCCACATATTTTTTAACTGAAGCCTCTAGTTCTTCTATGGTGTCCACCCTTTTTCCCAAGGCTACCACTTCGTCAACGTCTACCATTGCAAGCCAATCCATTTCTCTATACCAACTATGTTAGTAGGCGCTACGCTATATTATATATGTAAAAGAAAATTGATGTATTTTTTATAGAATTAAGTAAGCTGCCCCTCCAACCACCCCACCTATAATTAAACCAAAGATTGCCATATATTCTTCCATCTCAGAACTAGGTTTGTAGTGATTGCTTAACTGCGGCCTCCTCGGCATAGCCTTACGTGTTAACTCATTGATTCTTCTAACGAGTTCCAGTGATTTGTTTGTTGCATTAATATCCCTACTCGCCTCAGCTAATTCTGACTTTAGTTGGGCAAGTCTGTTTCTTCTATCAGTGACTTCTTCAAGGTACTTCTCTCTTTCAGCTGTTAGGTTCTCCATTGCAATGTTATGTCTGTGGGCTTCCTTAGCATATCCATTCTTATCAAACATTTTAAATAGATATCCTGCTCCAGCAAATGCAAATGCGTTAAAGAGTCCTCCTGCTACTGCTGACGCCATTGTATAGTCTTACCTAGGTTTTGAATGGATCATCTGGTAGATACTTCTTATCTTTCAAGTAAGAGACCAGTAGAGATGAAAGGCTAACTGAGACAGCTAACTTTGCCATTCCTTTTACGTTCTCTGGGGTGCCTAATGGTTCTTTTAATAGTTTCTTTGATGCCATTGATATACCGATTGCTCCTGCTGTGAGTAACACTGCGTCGTACACTTCCTTCGTCATCTTTGATTCTTTACTCATCTTGTTATAATATATATTATGTTTAATGTATCATTCAAGTGAATCTAACCTAGACTCGTCAGCTTTCCTGGTTATCTCGACAGTCTCAGTTACGTGCTTGGGTTCCTGTTCCCTGGTTTCCCTCTGATGCGACTTGTATGCTAGCACTAGAGATACCAGTGCTATGGCCACTCCTATGTAGGTAATCAAACTGTCATTACTTAATGTCTCCTTAGGTTCCGCAAGTTTCTTTTTCCTCTCCTTTGCTATTTTTCTGATTGCGGCTAATCGTTTTCCTGCCGCTACTCTCTTCGGGTCCTTCTTCTTCTCACTTGTTACTTGTTCTTGGATTTGCTCAGGTTTATCTTCCATTCTACTTGTAAGATACCTTAGGTTTAACTGGGTTTAGTCTTATGAGACATCTTAAATTCTACTTGTGAGATAACTTGAATTTACTTGTAAGATGTCTCAAATTTACTTGTAAGATAACTTAAATCTACTGGTGAGATAACTCAAATTTACTTGTGAGATAACTCAGATTTACTTGTGAGATATCTGGTGAGGTAACTTAATACTTACCTGAATTGAACCTTGGTCTGTACGTCTTCACGTCACAAACTGCATTCTTCACTATGGTCTTTCTTACAGTCTTCTTAAGTGAGAAGTACTCGTTGATTCTAATACAAGTCTTTACCAGATCATCTGATAACATTGTCATGTACCCTATTCCCCTCAATTTCCTGAACCATATATCCTGATTCTCACTTATAACTCCAGTGCCCTTAGGAGACTTAAATTCAATAGCAAATCCTTTGTACTTTCCCATAGGATTCTCTATGATAAGATCTGGTTGACCACCTTTATATCCCTTCTTCCAGGCGTCACACCTTCTTGACACTGTATCCTGATACTCACCTAGACCAGGTACTATTATGGCCTCTGGGTAGTTATCTATAATGTAACTCACAACTGCGTGATGAAGGTCCGTTTCATTTAGAAGGATTATTTGGTTATATCTAAGTGACCTTCTATCTGGTAAGTTATAAGAGCCTGTTTTGCGGATAGATGGAAAAACCTCACTAAGCACCCAGTCCTGAAAGGCCTCTGCTGTTGGAAGTCTTGAATTAAATAGTAGCTGGTACAATCCTGGTTCATATAGTAGTATTGTCTGCGGGTGGTACTTTTCCAAAGGGAACTGGCTGGGTACCCTTTGAATTTCTCTCACCATTGTCTTGTTCATATTCCACACATTATCTCTAATAGCTTTTTTCGTGTTCGTGTACCCCAGAAACTCTGCCACATCTTTTGCGTGAAATAGTATCTCATCACCTTTTCTGATAGTTCTTATGCTAACGTTCAACTCCTGATTTCTGAATAGTTTTTCCATCTTTCCCTATACTATATATGTAAAAATTTTTGGGCTTATTTTACGGCTATTTTATTTTGATTTATTAGTACTAATTATAATAAACTATAAGACCGGCCCTTCAGGGTGGTACCCTCGAGGGCACCCCTTTTGAATTAACAAGAGTGGTTGTATTATAACCTTTCTCAAAGAAGGGTGAATCGCCCCTCTTTCCTTATCCTAGTATCAGCATTCCCTCTACCCACCCAGCTGCTTACTACGTACTTCCTACAACAAATAAAATACTACATTTCATGTGATTTCTTATATATCTTTACGACTGTTTTCACCACATCATCTTTGAATGCCTGGTATTCATACTGGAGTGGTCCTATGATCTTATTCTTAAGGTTGTACAGGTCCTTCTCTACAGAGAACAGTGTTGCTGAGTTCTTCTTAAGTAAGCTTTCTGTTGAATCAAGTGCTGACTGGGTTTTATCTAACTGCTTCTTATTCGCGTCGGTCTTCTCAATCAGTTCATTAATTATGTCTTCAAATTCAGTTCCTTCCCAGGCGTTTCCCCAATCGTACGGCTCTCTAAGTTGAGACATTCTTCTTCACTATGTAATAAGATATGTTTTGCTTCCTCAGATATTTCCTCAGTCTTTCCCTTCTTCTTCCACTTGTGAGCTACCACATGCTTAGCTGTTGTGCATCCACCTGATATGAGACCTATGAATGGGATGTTTGGGGATATCGTTCTAGTTAAATAACATACGTCATCCTTTAAAAGCTTATCACTAAGTAGTTCCTCTGACAGCTTCTCAGAAGATTCCACCGCATTAAACCTTCCTAGTATGGAAGCAAACTTTGAGATAATAAGTGTTGATAAGAAGTCACTTGCGCATGACATCCTCTGACTTTCATACTCACTGTAAAGTTTATCTATAACATCTTTGTTGGACTTTCTTATGAAACTTGCGGTCTTATCGATTACACCATCCCTAGATAGCTCGATAAGCTTGTCTCTTTTACATTCAGTTTGCGACTTATCTGCGGTGGGCCTAGTTTTTCTTGCGGTAGACTTAGCTTTCTTTTGCGGTGTCTTTGCGGCCTCTTCTACTTCCCTCACAGCTGCAGATATTTCTTCATCAGATTCAGATCCCATCTTTTATATCCTACGTGATGTTTTGTTTGATAGTGTATGTGTAAGGGTGAATAAGTAGTATATCTAGTGCGGTGAACTTCTCATCTTTTAGTACCTGTGTTATCTCTGTAATTGTCTCCTGAGGAACACCATTTAGGTAATCATCTGTTATGACCTTCATATCCCTGCGACTAGGGTTGTAGAATGTAACTAACCTGGAAATGTTCTCCCTGAATGGTTTTGCTACTGATGACAGTTGTTGGGTAATTACAATGACAGATATATTGTAATGTCTTGCAGAGAATGCTAGGCGCACCAGTTCTGAGACTCTTTTCTTTACATCTTGACTTGCCGCACAATCGTCCACTATAATGAGAGTCTGAGTACCGCGGAATATGGTGGACACTGCCTTGAGAACTATATTGATCATTTCCTGGGAACATGGAATTTGTATGACTTCGTGGTCACTAATATGAGCCCAGTTAATGTAGGTCATATTCCATTCTATTGTTGGACATATAATAACAATATAATCGAAAACTTTATTGTACTCTGTTTCTAGCATGTTAAGTAAGAACTGAGTCTTACCACTTCCAGTCATTCCTACTATGAGCATATTGAATGGTGGCTCTAGATTCATCTCTATGCTTTACCGTTAGTACAAGCTACGCTAGTAGCGGCTACGCAGGCTACGCCTAGTATTGAATACTAGATAGATCTCTACTAGCAAAGTTAAGTAGAGCATCTGATACAACAAAAATGTTGCACTGAACGTCAGCTGTTGTGGCTTGCTTCTTGATTTCCATAAGTACTCCAGACTGTGTGTTAACAATCTTTCTTCCTCCTCCAGTGGTATCATCCTGAGTTGACCTTAGATCAATTACTAGAGCAAAACCGTTGCTGAAGAACCTGCTGATAGACATAAATTCATCTGCCATTGATTTCTCACACATAGGACAGAAGAATCGTTTTGCCTCTTCGAAGAACCTATTTTTATGAAGTCCTTGAGAAAAGACAGCATTAGGCACACCCTCAATGGTAAGGTTCACTTTATCAATGTTTGGGAAAATATATTCTTCAGAATCAGTTCTCACCCTGTTCACGAACAGGAGGACAATTGCTGACATGCTCTTCCTGGGGATATTTATGTTTTCATTGACAATGGTAAGATCTTTGTCCCAATTACTTGTACGCATTAGTGTGACATGTTTGTAGGACAGTGAGCGGCCTGTTGAATACATCCTTGATACTTCACTTGCAAGGGCGTCATTCTCAATGGTTTCGTATTCTAACTCAAGATTATCAAGTTTATAATTACCCTTAGCTTCACCTCCTTGTGCAGTCATAATCTCATCTGATTGTGGGAGTGTGAGGATGTACATAGGATTATTATTCATGGAGAACGGAGTGTAGAGTCCATGGTCTGCAATTATTTTATCAATTGGTTTTCTAAGCTTAGAACCATACACACTATGAAGAAGTCCATCTGCTACTTTGTTGTCATCACCAACCTTTACACCTGAGTCGTCACCTGAGATTAGCTTTCTCAGGTTTTCACTTCCGAGGCCCTGTTCTGTCATCTTATTTCTGTCACCCTGTGTTAGCCATAGGTCTTTATAAATTTCGTACAAACTCTCTCCTGAACAGTCATAAGCTGTTTCACCTGCTACTTTAATCTGAAGACGTTTTGCTATCAACTTAGACAGGTTATTATTAAAGTGGCTTTTTGTATTGGAATTCTTGAAGTCAAATAATAGTGCAAGTGATCCTGGAACTAAACAAGAGTCAGGCTTTAGTTTAGGAATGTTAATGTACAGCTCTTCACCTGGGCTAATAGTTGTAGGATTAAAAGTTACAACACTTCTAGTTCTTGGTCCTTTTACAGATGTCATGCGGCTCCTCCTGAAGCCAGGCTGGAGTTCTCTTTCTGTGGTATTCATGCTTTTATACAATATGTAATGTTTAGTTGAATTTGTATAATAAAACTGCTGCTGCACATACAATGATTATCCATATATTATCCGCTGCTAACTCTACTCCATCGGCTATCTTCTGGAATACAGGTGGTAGTTCTATTTGGTGGTTTACCAACTCACTGATCCGCTTATCAAGCTTTTCTGTTGTGTCACCTACTTTCCACATTATGTTTCTAGTTGATGCTACCAGTCCTATGATTACAGCTGATGATGAAATTAGAACAGCTGATAAGATGCCTGCATTCTCTCTTACCCATAACCTGAGCCTCTGCAGTCTCCTACGATCATTCCATTTAATGAGATCCCTCTTTTTCACCTTATCTCTTAAGTTGAGAAGTTTATTTAAGTTTGACTGTCTTTGGTAATCATTTGATAGCATTCTAACGTATCTCAGTTCTTCCGACTTTTCTTTGAAACTGTCTTCGTCCAGATTGGGTAGTATTATTTCATTTAACAGTCTGTCTCCCCTATCCATTAGATTATCGTATGACAGATTAGATAGGTCAGGGAATTTCTCAGCTAATTGCTCTCTCGTAAGGTCCTTGCTCAATATTTTTCTCCTCAGTTCCTGTATGTAATTAATTTCCTCGTTAATATCCTGGGTCTCCTCAGTAGTTTCGCTTTCCCTAAGATCCTTGTCAAGGTGCGGTAATTCGCTATCTAAAGTTTCTATATCCATTTCTTCATAGTTCGGATACTTTTCCTTCAACTCCTCCATTTTCTGGTCATCATATTCCTCTTGGTGTTCCTCCATTAGCTAATTTACTTTGTGTAATAATTGTATACCATTAAGGCTGCAGCTACAGCTAGTACCCATAGATGTGAAGCTAACCAAGCAATTCCCTTGGCTCCCCATGATAGCGCTGTTGCAATTGCGTTCAGGATTGGAACTAGAATTGGTCCTGCTTTCTTTGCTAAATTTGCTAGTGCTTTTGCTACTTTACCAGTGACCTTCGCTGTCCCTACAATGGCTCCCCTAGCATGGATTAATAAGGCTGTAATTAAACTAGCTGTTGACACTGCTATCCCCACAAGTCCCACCTTTTCCTTTCCAACCCAGTCTATAAACTTACGTAATCTGGAAATATCTTCCAACTGTGCCTCTCTTGCTTCCTCTATTGTTCTCTGTCCTAGGGTTCGATCTCTAGCTTCCTTCAAACTGTCAATTCTTTCTATAAGGGAATTATACTCAGTTGTACCTTCCGCAGAGGTGGTGCGTTCCACGGTTTTACCAATAGCTTCATTAAAGTAGTCCGCTTGTATTTGCAGCGCCCCATTGGGACCTGTTCTGCCTTCTATACTTGATCCATCAGGTGGGTTAAGAACACCTCTCAGTTCATTGTTTTCTTGCATTGTTAGCCCTGGAAGGTCTCCTAGTTTTGCACTTATGTCTATTAACTCAATGTTCTCACGGTCAGCGTATTCCTCACTACTTAACTCACTTAGGTCAGCTGGTTGGTCACCCTCATCACTTCCGATTATATTGTCGGGATCCGTAGGTACCTCTTTTATTTTCTTTATAAGTTCCTTATATTCTCCCAGTGCAGGTGAGCCCTTTGAGTACACGAGTTTGCTGGTCTTACCACGTTTCATTATTTGTGTCCCACTTTTATCAATACCTTGTTCACTTCTAAATATCAACACCTCTGTGCCATCCTTGAGTGTTCTTACAGATGATCGTTTGATGAGTTCCCTGACATATTTATTCCTAGGGTCTAGTATTAGTCCCTCCTTACCCTTGATAACTCTTGTGACAGCTTGAACACGCTCTACTTGGTTTTCGAAATCTCTCTTTTTATTTGCTGTAAGTCGGTCTTCTGAGAACTTTTTCAGTTTCTCTAGGCGGGCTTCTATTTCGTCCCAGTCAGCGTCAAATGATTCATTGAATGCATCTAGCACATCTGGAAGTAAATTGTTTGGGTCTTCCACAAAGTTGACTTCTGGGACAGTTGTGCTTCCTGATGGACCTGAAATGTTCACTGTACCATCATTTCCTTCGGTGAAAGTTGTTTCTTCTATTGCACGTCTCTCCATGAGATCCTTTACATAGTCCAGTTCACTTTTAAGATCAGTTAATACTATAGGGTCATCACCATACATAGCCTCTCCCTTCACCCTTGTATCTAACCTACTAAAAGCTGTCGTTAGGTCATCATAATTAAGATCGTCATATTGAGGATACGTCTTTTCTGTCTCCTCTAACTCAATGTCATCATAGTCCTCCATAATACTTTAACTTATGTTAGGGACTTAATGTCTCCAGCTGGTATCCAACTGTTAAATTTGTCATCATAACCTAACCACTTAACTAGGGCCATCTTTTTACCCTTTAATGTTCTTCTTCTTAGTACTTTCTCTATCTTAAAATCAGGTTCCCTTCCTTCAGCGCTATACAGTTCTTGTTCATAGAATCTGCCAATTATTGCTTCACCAGCACTGTCTTCTATTGTGTACGTGTTTGGATGGCCGTGATACACTTCCGTCACAGTGAACAACTCCTCTGTGAAATTTGCTTCGTACCCTTTTGTGAACACTGATTTGTACTTTGAGATCCTGACACTTTCTCCGACAGCAAACTTTGGTTCCGACGGCTTGCCTAAATTGTGACTAAAAAGTGTCTTCCATACTTCAGTCCAATTGGAATCATTTACACTGTCCGGTGTTGTTTTAATTGATCTATTCACTGAACTGTTGTAATTATCAGTTAAGTCTTGAAGAACGTCTAACCATTTATATGTACTGGCACTGTAAAAGTACTTCCACATTAGCGCCTTCAGTGTTCTGTTAAATCTTTCCACAACTGCGGCCTTTTTGTCTGAGTAAGTAGAGAAAAATTCAATGTTATGTTTATTGAGCAATGACTTTACTTCTTTGTTGTAAAACTCTGTGCCTTGATCAAACTGGGCGAATTTTGGGTATTTACCAAAGTGATTATTAAATTGCTCTAAAATGTTACTAACTGCGTCCTTCATTGATGTCGCGTTTTTCCTATACACTGGTACTGTGAATGCGTACCTACTTAGTATTTCGATTGATGTGAGAATCCATCGGTATCCCTTGTTCTTGTCGTCATATTTTGTCATGTCAACTAAATCCATTTGTAACTGTTCACCTAAAGTTTGAACGTACGTCTGTCTGAACTTATGTTTCCTAAATACTTGTCTGTACCTAGTGTATGTGTCCTGCTCATTTATCCATTTCTTAACCTGGTTTCTGGTTACTTTAAGTCCGTCTGATATTGCTCTAAGATATAGTTTCTCTGGTGTCTGGAATCCAGTCTTAGGATTGTAGTAAATATCTCGTAGTCCTTGTTCTTTCATAATATCATCGTCCATCTTATATTAACTAATGTAAGCCATCTACCGACTACGTTAGTAGACGCCAATAACTACACAAGTAGTTATTGCTCAAGGTACATCTCAAGTAGCACTTCACCTATATCAGTAGGTTTCCCGTCTTGATCTGTCATGTGGAATATAAGTTCTGAGAAAGAACCCTTGATAACTGAAATCCTGCTTTCAACATCAATGTAACTAACAACTGAGCCTAATAATGGTCTGTCAGTTGGAACTGTAACACTTGTTATTACATCGCTGGGTCTTCCCCAAGGGTTAACGTTAAAACTGTTACTTACTAGGTTGCAGTGTATATTTACGTATCGTAGACCATTATTAAAGTCAACTTTGCTATCACTTGTCAAACTCCTCCCTTTTAGTAGAATCATAGGATTATTAAATCTATTAAAACCTAACATAGTCAGTAATCGTGTTTCTACGGTAATATCCTGTTTTATAGCCTCTATTTGGCAGGATGCTGTTTCAGCAAAGTAGGTTAGTTTAACACCGTGTCTCTCAAGTAATTTTCTCATACTGTCAAATGTATAGTAGCCCTTGCTGACAATCACGTCAGTTTCACCACCAGCTGTTTTAACCTTGAGAATAGTTGTTGGTTCTCTTATATTGAAATATTCCCAGAAAACTGAAACTCTCTTCACAAAGACTGAATTATAGTTGCTTGTTAAAACTGAATTCTGTAGTGATATAATAGTGTGCGAGCTCTGGAGTAAAATTGTGAACTTCATCTTAATAACATACGTTAGGTTATTAAGAATGAGACTAGGTGGAGGAGACATTGGGAAGTCACCGTATAGGTCTTACCAAGACTACGAAAAAAAGTATGGAAAGGAAGATGAAAATAATGTTGATCCCATTGCTGGCAAAAAAGCCGAGGACGCTGAGAGGGCTAGGTTTATGAAAAAGTATCCTCACGCTGATATGAAAAGGTTCAAGTTCGAGGCTATGACAACAAGTAGTGGTGATATAGGAGTTGTTACATGGTTTGTGGATTTAGATGGTATAAGTTCATATGACATTAGATATGACGGTTTTAAGAAGGATAAGGAGTTTACATATTATCTCACAGGTACTAAGAAAATTATTATTCCTGCTCAGTTTGTTCCCATGACTGATACAAAGGTTACAAAAAGTGAGATTCTAGGTTTAGTTGACGGTTGGCCTCTAAAGTGGAGGTTGGGTTCTGATGTAAAAGCTAAGTTAAACAACAACGATACATTTGATAGGTTCAGCTGGTTTCCTAGGATTGGGTGGAACACTCCTGCACATTCATTCAAGGTTTATGTGGATGGTAAAAGCTTCTTTGTAACTTCCGGGGAGGCTGGTGGAAATATGCTTCCTAAAATTGAAGACAGTATTAAGATTGATGGTGTAAGTACGGTGTTCGACTATAAGAAACCCTATTTTGCAGCTCTTTGCGGCGCATATATCGCAACATACTTATGCGGAATCACAAGCGGTCATCTTACTCCAAGTGATGATACTTACCCTGTGATAACAAGTATAATGAACTTTCACCTTTACTACTGCATTAGGAAGTATGTGTACAAACCTGAAAGATTAATTCCCTATATGGATATGCTGGATTCTATTAAAAAGCATATACCTGTTAAGGGTAAGTGGGTAAAGAAAAGTGATTATTATAATGTTGTATACGATTATGGACTCGACTGGGAAAAAAGTAACTGGATAAAGGGTAGGGGTGACGGTAGCAATCCTGTAAGAAATGTAACCAATTCTTCAGTTATGACTGTTAATGGGTTTCTAAAAGGAATTCGTGTACACTATGTGGAAAGAGTATCTGTTGCACTTGTTAGTAAGTCTGATTATTTAAGGTTTGTTAGTACTCAGACTGATCCGTATTTTGGACTTACAAAAACTGGCTTACTTCTATTAGGGGAATCAATTGAAGCTTACGTTTACTCTGTGTTAGGTGCACAGGCAGCTACCAGATCACCTATCACTGGAAGCTACGGAAAGTCATCTGCTACCCAGGTTAAGTTCAGCGCACTGGTAAATGATTGCGTTATTCAAGCTGATCCTGTTGTAACTCTAGGTAATATGAGAATTGCTATTAGAGACACAAATGTTGTACTTAACACAGCCGTCACCCCTGGAACTGTTCTGATTCCGTCAAGTCTCATAATTCTAAGTAAGCCTATACCTGGGTATAACAATATTCTAAAAAACGCAAAAAAGGATATGAAAAGAGGAGTTAATACCGAACTCAATTATGTTGGGGTTAAGAAGGCTAATCCCCCAAAGAAACAGCATCAAGACAATACACCAGTTCACCACCTTGATACTATTGATGGAAATAAAAAGGTTCCGGGAGGTCCTACAAGAGTTAAGCCTCAGGAAGGTTCTATAAGTGCCGAGACTCAAGTTGTTCCTATTATGAAACATGATGAGTCTTCAGGAGTTAGCGCTATCGCTGGAGCTGGGATGGGTGCTATAGTTGTATTTATTCTAATGAAAATTATCTTGTAAACAGTGTGTATGTTATAAAATGGCTCTCTATAAGGGATACAACAAAGGAGTAAATAAAGTTGATCCGTCAATCGGTAGTGTGTTTGATAAGGACGGATTTACCATGAAGGGTGACATTGAGATGGATGGTAATGAGGTGAAAGGTCTGGGTGCACCTACAGATGATACTTCTGCGACCACAAGAAAGTGGGTGGATGATGAGATCGTTAAACAGGCTGCCCTTACAATTCAACCTGCAGGGTTTACAATGACTGGGGATATTAACATGGGAGGTAATAAGATAATTAATCTTGATAATCCTACTAACCCAGGTGATGCTGCTAGTAAGAGCTGGGTTGAAGGCAGCCGTTCTAGTCTACCTGGACTTATCCTTACAAATGACTTCAATATGTCAACAAATGAGATAAAGGCTCTAGGTGATCCTACAACTGGAAGGTCTGCTGTTAATAAAGACTGGGTAGTTGGAATGTTAAATAGACCTGTATCAGGACTTAATATTGCTGGGGATATTGATATGAAAAACCATGAAATTAAAAATCTTAAGGACCCCTCTAATGACCAGTCTGCTGTCACAAAAAAGTGGGCTGTTAATAATAACTTTGTTAAGAAAGGTGGAATTATGCAGGCAGATGTGTCCATGGGAGGTTGGAGATTGTTTGATCTTATTGAGCCTAAAATTGATAGTGAGGCTACATCAAAAAAGTGGGTTGAAGGTAAAATATCTACACTTCTTGGTCCCTCCGGTTTTAAAATGTCAGGAGCAATTAATATGGACGGAAATAGGATAAGAAATGTTTCGGTTCCTAAGAGTGGAGGGGATCCTGTTAACCTTGATACTCTAACATTAAGGTTAAATTCTTTTAGAAATAAAAGTGATAATGATTACCTCAAAAGGAATGGTGGCTCCATGACTGGAAATATGAATACAAATAACTTTCAAATCTATTCTAACGCTGTCCCTGACAGAGACTCCTCCCTTGTGGCCAAAAAGTGGGTGGAAGATAAGATTAGCGGTGGTAGAAGTAAGCGTGAGACTTACAGTGGACTTACACTTTCTGACGACCTTGATATGGGAAACAATGAGATTGTAAAGTTAGGTGCTCCTACAACTGATAATTCTGCCGTGTCTAAGAAATGGGTCACGGATCATGTCAGTGGGAGTTCTGTAAGTAGTAGTGGCTTTACTATGAGCGGTAATATTGATATGGGAGGAAACGAAATTGAAAATGTTGGAGATCCTACTAGTGATCAATCTGTGGTTACAAAAAGCTGGTTTAATTTAAATGAAGGAACATTTCTACGGTTAGACGGAACAGGATCTTTAAATGTTGGTGGCACTATTAATTTTAGCAATGCACCTAACTGTAACTCCGACCCTGGAAACTCAAATAGTCTTGTAAGGTTGCAGTATCTTAAAACGTACACAACAAACTTATTAAAACTTAGCGGTTCGCGAGCAATGACAGGTGGTCTTAGAATGGGTGGAAATGAAATAATAAATATTGGTGCTCCTACAACTGATAATTCTGCCGTGTCTAAGAAATGGGTCACGGATCATGTCAGTGGGAGTTCTGTAAGTAGTAGTGGCTTTACTATGAGCGGTAATATTGACATGGCTGGTAATACTATTACAGGACTAAATAGTGGGTCAACGGGAAGTTCTAGTGCTGTTTCTTACGGTTCCATGACTTCATGGTGCTCACAGTTTCTTAAGCGTGATGGTGGCACTTTAGCTAGTAACTTAGATGTTAACGATTATGAGTTAACTAGAGTTGGAAGTCCAACGACTGACGGTTCAGCTGTTAATAAGAGGTGGGCAACTGATGAGTTCATGAGTAGTAGAGGTGGGTTGGTAAAAGGTGATTTGGATATGGGAGATTCAAGTGGAATTCTTGATCTAAAGGATCCTGTAAATGATAAGGATGCTGTTAACAAGCAGTGGGTAGAAAAGAATTTCCTAAAACCTTCAACTGGCCTTACTCAAGCAACGGCTGACTTAAGATATGTAAGAATACGGCGACATATACATGCAGAATGGATTTGGGGTTATCGTGGTGTTTCAGTTGCAGCAACAAGGTACTACGCTTACTGTCACGATCAGATTCCACCTTCATGGAGAACAGATCCTATTAATAATATGGCAGACCTGAACCTTGAGTCAATAATGCTTACTGTCACGATCAGATTCCACCTTCATGGAGAACAGATCCTATTAATAATATGACAGACCTCAACCTTGAGATCTATCAAATCAGATTTCCCACGTTTTTCAACTGTTCAAAATATACCTATAGGACTCATTCTATGGGCTACCGTTTGGGAAAAGCAATCTAATGGAAAATTTGCTAAGGTTAAGAAGGAGATTGTTCTTGCCACGGTTGACTTAAGAAGACTGTCACACACCTGGTTTAATGGAACTTACACAACTACCGGTGGAAGTACAGCTTGCTACGTTTTCAAGGGTAATAGTATGTTCTATTTAGGAGCCCAGGCTGAGTTGGTAGATAACACGCTAGCCTGGTGTATTATAGTTAAACCTGAACACTCAATGCCTACTGGGTCTAGCATGGATATGTCCTTTTGTTGGTCACTTCGATATTCAGGGTCAGGTAGTTAACATGTGGTTTATCATAAGATAAGATGTCAAGGTGGAGGTCATGCTTCTCCTGCTTAGGTAAGATTTGTGGTTGTCGTAAGAGTTCTAGTAGAACTGGGAAGTCTGGTGATATAAATTTCTCTGTATCAAATAATATTAACATTGGAGTGAGCACACAAAATAAAAAGGATGACTTAGACTTTAGACCAAATTCTGAAAGTTACGGTCACCTAAGAATGCTTGAGGAAAAGTCAGATGTTAAATAGAGAATTTAATAGGAATAAAATAAATGATCTAAAAAAGTGGTCTAGAAAAATGATGGTAAAAAAGATCAGAAAAATGGTCTAGAAAAATGAGGTAAAAAAAACCAAAGAAAAAATGGTCTAGAAAAATATGAGCCCGCGTTTTTGGGGAAAATATGGAAACCGCTGACCGGAAGTTGGGTGAGATCGCGGGCCGAAAAAGTGGTCTAGAACCCTCATTCCCTATACTACTTTCATGTGTAGATTTGGCATGCACATGTCAAAAACAAGGCCAAAAAAATGTTTAAAAATTAAAAAAGCCCATTTTCATTTGGTGATTTTCAGAAAATTACGTACTTAAATTATACAAAAACATCAAAATAAAAATAGGTTTCATATATTGTGCATGAAATATTTAAAAGTTAAAAATTTTCCGCGCGTGTAAAACTGCGACAACAAACTATCGCTTGCTTGTATTTCATGCGTAGATTTGGCATGCACATGTCAAAAACAAGGCCAAAAAAATGTTTAAAAATTTAAAAAGTCCATTCTCATTTGGTGATTTTCAGAAAACTAGGTACTTAAGTTATAGAAAAACATCAAAATAAAACTAGTTTTCATATGTTGTGCATGAAATATTTAAAAGTTAAAAATTTTCCGCGCTTGTAAAACTGCGACAACAAACTATCGCTTGAAAAAAAGAACTTGCTGTTTTTATCAATTTATGGCGCTTCATCTGGTGGAACTTGACAAAAATACATGTGATTGAACATACCTGATTTCCAAACACACATTCCAGTTGCAGGTTTTACAACAACAGCCGTTTAAAAAACTTTTTCTTTGTCTTTTTTTTCATCTTATAAACGAACGAAGTTGTTTTGCAAAAACAATCGATCCTCGTGAGTGAGATCCCAGACTTATATCTTACACTACAACATTCCCCATATAATCAGCCGTGATTAAGAATCCGGAAAAAAGATTTTATCTATAGTAATAGCACAGATCCCAAATCCATTGTGAATTCAGCTTGAATTGTACCTTTTTACGTAGTAATTTTAAAAAGAAGTCAAAACAAACATGCATGCCTGATCAAACCACATCGAATTCGAATAAAAATGAAAATATGCGGGGGGACCTGCATCACACATAGATCAGGGGCGCCATAACCGTTTCACCGCCCGTGTTTTACAGCGCCCTGGTATCGCCCATCACTACTGACAAACTAGTCAGTAGGAAATAGGAGTCAAGAAGCCGATTTTTAATGACATCATTTATATATTTTTCAAATTGAAAATTAAAAGCCATAATTCACATTATTTTTCAACCATGCTCGTCGCCAAAGAGCCTGAATAGGAGGTTGGCTCGTCGCATAATTTAGAATAACACGCCGGTGATTTAGAATAAAGAGGTTCTTCTTAAAATCATTTGAATTTGGTCTCCCAAGGAGAGAAGTTATAAATAATATATACAAACAGCTTGTCTACTATAAGCAATTATACACTTTATTTCATTGCCAAAAGTAAAAAGAATTTTTAAATTAAAGTTTGTTCGTTCACTGCAACCAGGTATATCAATCATGTTTCGCTCGCTACTCTGGTTTAAATAAATGATTACAAAGCCCAGTCGAATTGTAATCAAGACCCAACGTTTCGACACTCCAGTGTAGTGTCTTCATCAGGGGTGATCTAAAGATGCATCGTGGCTTTTTAAATACCCAAGGGATGACGTCACCTGCCAATGAGATGCATGTATTTCTCTGGCAAATAGGCACCGTCGTCCTTATTCAAAGCATGATTACTCATATTTATATGCCACGCTTCTATGCAAAGTCTTTGACCATAGCGATTGTTTGTGGTAATTACTTTAGAGTTTTCCCACGCAATAGTCGTGTTTGGTGTAACATACATGTTCGGCTAAAGCGGATTTTCTCTTGTCTAAAGTTTGAAACAGCCTTTTGATGTTCTTTTAGCCGTGTATCAAACTGGCGTTTAGACTGACCCAAATATTCTTTCTCGCAGTCACCGTATGGTATCGAATATACAGCATGAGTTTTCTAATTTGTTTTCTTTCTCGCAGTCACCGTATGGTATCGAATATACAGCATGAGTTTTCTAGATAAACAGGATCTTTTGGCTTTGCGAAAATATGGCCTAAAGTCAAATAGGGTTTTAAGGCAACCTTAATATTACAAGTAATTGTAAAATTTGGGAATTGAAAATTCTTATATTTGCATTGATTATCCGCACTCAGAATGAATCATGTGTTATATTTTTGGCCGGGAATGCAACTGCGAATTCGAAACAATGATTGTCATATCTCACCAGACAAATTATGTCCATGTAATGAGGTTAGTTTTTTTAAAAAAACATTTGTAAACCAGCGTTGTTTACGTTCTGAAAGTTCACTTTTTGACAAGCGAAATGACATATTACACCTTGCAACGACTACGTAAAAACAAACACGTTTAGCTCTCCCTCTAACCCTAATTATCGATTTTCCCGCAGAGTTATCGCATTAATCGTCTTTGTCCGTCTGAAATAACTCCAAACAGCGCTTGAAAAAGCTCGATATGACATTTAAAAATACAAACGTAAACGTGATATCGATAATAGCGACCTTAAGCAAATGCGTTTTTGCGATGACGACGACGTTAGATGACGCAGATTGGGACTGGCACTACGTCGTCGCGTCATCGCTGATAATTTAAGCATGTGCAAATGACGACGACGAAAAATCCAGATATATAAAAAATGGCGCCATTTTAAAATTCAGTCAAATTGTTTTGAAATGTAAACAGCGGAACATGTACTTTAGGGAAATTCGAGAGCTCGCTACATTGTGTTTTGGATTAGGTTATATATCGGCAGCGGAATTTGCTGTTTTACTTGATGAATATGAATCTTGCAATCCAGATTTTCCATATGACGAGTATATGCCTTTTAACCTGGATGATATGGACGAGAGTGAATGCTTAGCAGAGTTTCGATTTGAGAAGCAGCATATTCCACTTCTCGCTGAAGCATTGAGAATCCCAGCTTACTTCATTACGAGCAAAGAAGCCGAGTGAGAGGCATAGAAGGGTTGTGTATGTTGCTAAAGAGAGTGGCATATCCATGCCGTTACAATGACATGATCCCTCGATTTGCTCGTCCAGTCCCAGTGTTGAGTATGGTCACAAACAAAGTCATAAATCACCTTTACGAAACTCATGGCCATCGACTCACACAATGGAATCATACCATTCTCCACCCTCAAGCACTTGAGCAGTATGCTGAAGCAATTCATAATAAAGGCGCTCCATTACAAAACTGCTTTGGTTTCATAGATGGAACTGTCAGCCGGACCGATTTCTCGCCCAAGAGAGAATCAGCGTGTAGTTTATAATGGACACAAACGTGTCCATGCTCTTAAGTTCCAATCAGTTGTGATTCCAAATGGTCTTATTGCCAATATGTATGGGCCAGTAGGTTAGTGTAAAGTCTTATGAATTAAAACGCGCTTGCATTACTGAAATTAACCACTGCTTTAAAGAGGAAATTTAATTTAGTAATATATTTCTTCTTTCACATTTCTAAAGAAGGCAACAGGCATGACTCTGGAATGTTGGCAGGAGTCAGGTCTGATGGGGCAGTTGGAATTAAATGCACACTCAATGAATGACCAACCAATGTGTCTCTATGGGGACCCAGCCTACCCACTTAGGGTTTATCTTCAAGCACCTTACCGCATTGCACAACTAACCCACCAGATGAGGCTTTTTAATACATTGATGAGTTCCACAAGAGTCTCAATTAAATGGCTGTTTGGAGATATCATCAATTACTTTAAATTTGTTGACTTCAAAAAGAATTTAAAGATTGGCCTTAGCAGTGTAGGTAAAATGTATTTGACATGTGCACTACTGCAAAATGCCCACACATGTTTATATGGAAATCAAGCATCAACTTTTTTTCAACTTGAGCCACCTACACTTCAACAATATTTTATTTGAAAGCCAATATAAACAATACATGTGCTTCCATGTTAAATAACAATGTACATAACTTTAAAACTTTACACAACAATGTCCAGCAAAAACCAAGTGAGTTGGGGAATGCACTTACAGCTTCTTTTACAGTTACAGTGTCAGTGAGTTAAAAAATATTATCTTTATCAATCTTGGTGTATCCTACCAGTTGGTAAAAATAAATGTTAGCAATTTAGGAGTTAAGTAAGAAGCTTAAGGACATCAAGCAAGCAACAATGCTTACCATTCCAACATTTAGTATCCTTAGTAAGTAAGCAAGTTACTGGTTATTTCTGGACTTTCCTAACCTTAGAGAAGCAACAATGCTTACCATTCCAACATTTAGTATCCTTAGTAAGTAAGCAGTATCCTTAGTAAGTAAGCAAGTTACTGGTTATTTCTGGACTTTCCTAACCTTAGAAGTAAGTTAATGGTTATTTCTGGACTTTGCTAACCTTAGTTGTTAATTAATGTCAATTAAATATAAAGATCAAGGAAAATATCCAACAAGAAAGTGTTAATTAATGTCAATTAAATATAAAGATCAAGGAAAATATCCAACAAGAAAGTTAACACAGTCAGTTTATGCGCACAGGTCACTTCATTGTGTTTTTCTTGATACCTGTTGCAAATATGTCAATATTTGCTGTTGCTGTTGCATCATCAACATATTCTGCTGCTGTTGCTGTTCTTGTTGTCGGGTATTGTCTTGTTGCTGTTGTGCCAACAACTGCACAAGGGTTGCCTGGAATTGCTGTTGCTGCTCCAAATGCTTATTTGAGGCTTCATCTGAGTGCTTCCTTGCTTCAATTTCAGCTCTTCTTAATTCATATTCTTGCTGGGTTCTTTCCTTCAGAAATTCCACAGCCTCGTTCCCGCTTCTTCTTTTCTTAATGGCAACTTTTTCTGCAGCATTTTCACCCTTTCTCTTCTGTGTATTTCCCAAGGTTTCCATGGCCAACTTTCGGACTTCTTCAGCAGTGTGCTTATCTTCATCATCTTTCTTTTTTTTGGAAAGGTTTATTGGTACTGTGGACTCCATCTTTTCCAGTATCTCTTCCAATGACTTCGATTTTTCATCCAATTCTGGGTCAATTCCTGATGCACTTATTTCTTCGCGATCCTTCTTTTTAAACCACTTCAACAGTTTATTAAGTTCATCCCTCAAATAACGCTGACTAACCTGAAATTTGGGGAATTCAAGAGCATTCAGCTTGTCTGCAATATCTTCCCATACTTGGCCACGTTCAACACTGCTCTTTCTGTACATAAACAAGTCACTCACAAGGACTTCTCTGAGAAATAGCATATCATGCTCTTCAGACCAGACTTTACTATAAAGAAAACAGCAGGAGAAAATTGAATTCAAACAATCTTACAATTGAGTGATTCAAGTACTTTTGATGTTGGCACATTGCATTTTTAAACCAACCCCTGCCCCCCTATTGAGGAATGCAGAATTTCCAAAAGCCACACACACACACGCACGCACACACAATGGGAGGGTGGGAGGGTCCAATTTTTAAGGCAAATCTGTGGAAATTCCACAGACTAGGTCTAACTACTGCAGGAATGGAGGGAAGTGCACCCCCTAGCCCTGGCCAGAAGTGGTGCAGGGGGGTCGGTGCTATTTTTCATGGTAAAGCAAAAAATATTAGAGACCAAATGAGATACAGTAATTTGAGTAATTACATGATGATAAACAAACTCTGAACAACAATTACATAATACAATAGTCAAGCAAGACTTTGCAGTAGTCAAGCAAGTTGATGGGCAGTGCACATGACAGACACAACTTGGCACCAGAGCTGGCAGACCACTGCCCTACCAGATCATGCTGGATCCAATCCCTGAAAGTGACTAAAACTTATAGAATAATTTTCCATGGTATGGTCAACAATGAAAGAGAAATTCCAGAGGTATATACGTAGGTTAAAAATCGGCAAGAATTTTCCAAGAAATAGCTACTAATCGACTGCCTCGTCCCCAGTCGCTTTCAAATGGGGGAGAGGAAAACAAGAAAAAATTTCTTTGTTGGGCTTGCACAGAATAACTGATTTATATAGATAGCATTTCACTAGACTAGATGGACTGTCCTGCGGAGGAGGCAGGCTAATCGAGAAATAAATAAGGAAATTCCACTACATGACCAGGTCAGAAATTGTCAAGGAATTTCCATGGGATGGGTAAAAAAAAAAGATGTGTAAATTTCACAGGGAATTAAGGCTAAAAATTCAATAAAAATCTGTGGAAATTTTACAGGGGAGGCTACAAATTCACTAAAAATTTGCGAAAATTCCAAAGGAGGGGGACCAAAAATAGATGCAAATCAATACTCAATAGGGGAGTTTAGTTTAGAAAAATTTATGCAATGTGTCATAAATATTAATATTATCACATGTATATTGGGTGAACTTTCACATTTTAATCAATAATTCACATCATTTTCAGTGCAAGGGACTAAATCAGTACACAGATCTTTATAATATATATATATACAGAAGTTAGCTATTCATGTGTTTGGTCTTGCACAAGAAGAAAATATTCAAATTTGACCTCGACAAGTTATTAAATACAAATATAGAATATAAATGAAACAGTGTACACTATTTCAATTGCAAATTAGTAACAGTCAGGGAGGCGAATAAATAGTAAATATAGAAGTATGAAACTTATAAATACCTGGTAGTGATTACTGAGTTAGCTTTGTGAGATGCCATGTAAAAATACGTCGAAAAAATTGGAAAATGTTGAAGCAAATTCCACGTAATGGCGACAACGAGAAATCATGCAAAATCAAGTCGTCCTAGAGACGACCACAATGCAAGTTCATAATACAATATGCAAACTCAGCAGAAAAACAGTAACTTTACTTCCGGGTGGTCGTCGTCATCGCGATGACGCAGTTTGCTTAAGGTCGCTATTATTCACCTGAGTACACAACACCAACACAGAAAAATTCAAATTATTAGAACACATTGGTATTGAAGGAACTAGATACTGTTCCGAAATATCACTTACTCAGACCGTCCTGACCACGTAGCTCAGTTGGAAGAGCATTGGGCTAGTATTCCAAAGGTCGTAGGTTCGAATCCCACCATGGCCGGGCATATTTTTCAAGCTCGCCCGGTGTGGATATATGCACTTAGAGTAACATCGCAAACATATTATTCACCTGAGTACACAACACCAACACAGAAAAATTCAAATCATTAGAACACATTGGTATTGAAGGAACTAGATACTGTTCCAAAATATCACTTACTCGAACCGTCCTGACCGCATAGCTCAGTTGGAAGAGCATTAGGCTAGTATTCCAAAGGTCGTAGGTTTGAATCCCACCGTGGCCGGGCATATTTTTCAAGCTCGCCCGGTGTGGATATGCACTCAAAGTAACATCGCAAACATATTATTCACCTGAGTACACAACACCAACACAGAAAAATTCACTTTAAAACATTTCAGCAAGATTAAAACTTGTTTAGTACTGAAGTCCATATAATGAAGTCAATTTTGAGCTTTTAATCGTTCCCTTAGCTGCTGTAAAACGTGAAAAATTTATGTTTTCCAGTGTCCTGCATAACCTGCAATCAGGCATATAAATAAAGCTTTGTGACCACACGACAAAGGATGCGAGCACACATTCTATTTGTCAACGGCGTGGTTGTTATGGCGGTTATGCTGTTTGGATTGTGTGTTGATGGCTAAATGAAGACGATCAGAACAGAAGTAAAATATATACGTGCTTTTGAAATATATTTTGGAATATATTTATTGTTATCCAACACTCAAGATTTTGGACAAAAAGGTAATAATTTAATTGAAATTACAAATATTTATGAATTATACAACTGATAATAAAATGATTCACGTTTAACTTTATTGATCTTTAAACAGGATCATCTCTTCGTTAGCTGGTGCCTGATGCTTGGCTGTCCATTAACCACCTTGTCGTTGTATCCTGTGCCGTAGGTGAAGAGTCTCAAGGTGAAGTATCTTTCTGTTGTTAATTAGATAAGGGATGACCGGTGATTTTCTTCAAGTAAATTGTCTTGTGATCCCTGATCGTGATCATGGAAAATTGGGTGGGCGAATCCATTACAAAATGGTTGCACACACTCAGAACCAGCTTCTGCTTTAACTTGTTTCCTCTTGAAATTTTGAGGCCATCTTTGCAAACATCTACTTTAAATATTTTTTCAGCAAATTCAATAATGTTGTAAACAGACTGTGACGGTATTTTTAGGCCACCATTGTTCACAAATAATGTGAATGCTGATGCAAGTGCAATTTGACTGTAATTCATAGCACAGTAATCATGATCACTTTTTTTTACTGAGGTATGTTATATTTGGAATTTTCCCACTTTCTCAGCAGACAACAAGCCGATGGTTTTACGGCACAATTTCGATAATAAAACACTTTTTATTGCAGAAATTTAAGTACTAAGCTTCCCAACTTTTTTCAATAATTTGAATAAAGTTGAAAAATAAATCCAAGCTGTTTTCTATCTAGTTTTTTCTCTCTCAAAAAACTAGTGTTATTTTTGTTGTTTCAAGCGACCATATTAACATGTGGAAATATATTGTGTCAGAGAATTGCCATCCTTAGGATATTATACCATATAACAATACAATGACATAATATTTTATATAGAACATTTAATTATAAGTGCATCATATTTAATAATAAAAGCATGTCAAAAAAATTGTTGACTTAGCAAACACTGGCTCCAATAATTCAGCATTCTCTTTAATGCATTCAAGCATGCCAAAGGAACATAACCCCTCAATCTTCTGGTCCAATAGTTACAGAAGGAAGAGTTAATAGCAATATACCATAATTCCTTCTGATCAATAATTAGTAGTAGCTACCTGTATAATCTAAACTCAACAGGTTTATATTTTACATTTTTGGCACTGTTCCCGATTTGGTCTTCTTCCAATTGTATATATAAACTTTACCCTTGATATATATCAACCAATTACTGCAAGTTTCTCATATTTTATATTTAGCATACCTTACAATGGCATCCCTGGAGGCCAAAGTTTCTCTTGATGTGTAACTTCCCTATAACGACTTTCTCAAGGACGTTGAAAACATCATCGGACAACAGGATATATTTGTCTGTTGCTTCATCCTCACAGTGACATAACTGCAATTAAATTTTTGTGTAATTATGCAATCACTATTCAAAAAGTTATAAAATAAGGAGACGCAATTGTGACATGGGCCCGCTGCACAAGTTTCAGTTCATTAGTGAATGCTCAGAAGATGTGAATGTCGGTTCGAGGAATTGTCTAAACTTATGTTTCCAGAAGATGACATATTTTTTTAGCATTACTTATAAATTGACTTTGTTGATGAATAGTACGTAATAGATTCTAATTCATTTAGTTCACGTCAGTGTAGGATTTAAGTATCTTAATGACATTGGAGTAAAAACTGGGTTAGTTCAGTTCTTAAAGTTTTTTGGAGATTAGGAATGCTTGTTTCACAACAGTGAAGTCATGAAGGGTATTTATGTGTGCAAGTATTTGATTATTCTTTTATGTATGGTTATTAATAGAGGAAATTTTCCTAATTCACCTCTACACAGTACACTTGTTGCTTTTCCATTAATTCCTAAGTATAACTTGCAGAATCTGGAATGAACTTTTTCTGTTTCGGATTGATCCCATTTATTAAGATCGCTTTTAATGAATGCACCCCATACTTCTGAATGATATAGAGAAGTATTGGTGAGATAATACTTTCAAAGATTTTGATTGCTAGTTTTGGATTCAGTGAGTGAAAATCAACTTTTTTCTTTGTGCTGAACATAGTGTGTTTTGCTTTATCAGCCAATTGTTTCATTGCTATGGCAAATTTCCCGTGGGTTGTAAGTTTAAAATATAAATAGTTGTATTCTTGTTGTCTCAAAGGTTCTAGGTGGTTGGAGAGATCGGGAAGAAACAGACTTAAGTAGGTCACAAAACCAATGAATCTTTGGATGCTCTTCACATCAGTAGGTTTGGTCATCTTTGCAACAGCATCAATCTTGGCAGGACTGGTTTTGAGCCCTTCATTTGTAATCAGATGTCCCATTAATGGTATTTCTGCCCCATTGAACATGGACTTCTCGTGGTTACGGTTCACTAGTCCGATAATGGTATTTCTGCCCCATTGAACATGGACTTCTCGTGGTTACGGTTCACTAGTCCGAAGGTTCACTAGTCCATTGAACATGGACTTCTCGTGGTTACGGTTCACTAGTCCGAAGGTTCACTAGTCCGAAGGTTCACTAGTCCGAAGGTTCACTAGTCCGAAGGTTCACTAGTCCGAAGGTTCACTAGTCCGAAGGTTCACTAGTCCGAAGGTTCACTAGTCCGAAGGTTCACTAGTCCGAAGGTTCACTAGTCCGAAGGTTCACTAGTCCGAAGGTTCACTAGTCCGAAGGTTCACTAGTATCTATTTATTTATTTAGCTTTGCCAACTAGGGCAGGGTCACCACAACAGCATATGTCTATTTATTTATTTAGCTTTGCCAACTAGGGCAGGGTCACCACAACAGCATATGCCAATTACTGTGAGCCCTTTTTACCTAACCCACCCTGTCAACTTTCCCTGTGGGAGGAAACCGGAGTACCCGGGGAAAACCCACGGCTTTCGGCAGAGCGTTGACTTTTACTCTTTTCACATGGGGACTGGGTTCGAGTCGCACTGAGAAGGTACTTAGTGAGATTCGAACCTGCAGCCTCAGAGGTGAAGGCAAGTGCGCTAACCACTTGGCCACCGAAGCCCCTTACCAAAGTAAGTAAGTAAGTTAGTCCGAAGGTTCGCTAGTCCGAAGGTTCGCTAGTCCGAAGGTTCGCTAGTCCGAAGGTTCGCTAGTCCGAAGGTTCGCTAGTCCGAAGGTTCG